AAATAAGTGCCAAGTCGGTACTATTGGTACATAAGAAGTTAATAAGTTTAGTCTGACCATGTATATGCAGCGTGATAGCTCTTGCCAACCCCATTTCAAGTGTTTTTACATAACCGTAAACAAATGTGCAGTATCATTCATTTCTTGTATGTAATAGCATTGAATGAGATGCAAAATGTTGAAAATGTGGAACTAATTCAAGTACGAGTAAATTTTGAAGCCAGCGTGCATACTGCCCTAAATGAATGTAGATTAGAACTACATGTCTGTCTGTGCTTGTTGTTCTTCATGTCCTATATGAATATCATACATTCACCCTCTGAACTTCATTGATTGAATGGGTTCTGGTATTAAATGAGGTGCTGTATTAATTGGATTTGATTCATCCTTTCTTTTTTCCATGGACCAATAAAGGATTTTTATCATTTTAATCTTTTATTTTCTCACAGATTTTAGGTATGAGATGAAATCATATGAATATATTATGAAAGTTCATTGGTCATTTTTGTAAAACCTTGCTTAAACTATTTGATGTCTATATGTTCTTGTCTGTTATTTATCTTGTAAACAGTTTGTCAAAGAAATAGCTTTGTAAATAGTAACTTGTTATCCAAATCTGTAAATGACATTGAATATGTGTTTCTGTCTTGCCAATTTGGTACTGTGTTGTGTCGTTATAGTGCTCTGAGAATGTTCATTTTGCTACGTCTCTTGTATTCGATTTTGATAACTTATTTGAAATTTGATTTCATTTTTCCTTGTTTTATTGGGTCGGTGACTCATCTTGTAAAGATCTTGGAAAAAAACTAAGCTCATTGGAGAAACATGTCTGAATTGTTTTCATTTTTTATCATAAATTATGAGTATTTGTATTTATCATTTCTACCAGTGTAAAAAAAAAAATGAAATTACCAAGCGTCAGACAGAGGGCCTGCATTAGATACACAAGGTCTGTAATTTGTTTCTCTAGCATTGTGTGTCCATTTTGCCTTGCATGATTAACAATGACCAGTCTTGGAAAACATACATTGAACATGGCTCGAGTGCAGTTTGTGTAGATTATGGTAGAAGAGTGATTCGGGAGAGAAATTCATTGATCCTGGTGTAGTGATGGTGATGATGATAATGAACATGATATTGATTACAGTGATGGTGATAGTGATGACGGTAATGATGATGGTGATAGTAATGATGATGTTGATTATGTTGACATAGGATAAGGTGATAATGGTGATCATGATGCTGATTACAGCGACGGTGATGATGGTGATATTGATGACAGTAATTATGATATTGATTATGTTGACATAAGATAAAGTGATAATGGTGATCATGATGATCTTTGTGACCGTAATGATAGTGATGATGAGGATGGTGGTGACAATGGTGATAGTCACGATGATGTGATGGTGTTGATTACTGTATGTTGACAGTGAAGATGATGTCAATGATCTTGTACAGGGGTGATAGTAGGCACTAACAAAAAAATAGGTCTTTTGTTTTACCCTCAACCACGCCCCCATTGAGTAAAATAAAAGAACAATATGATTCGCAGGGGAAAAATGGCATCTAACAACATTCACCCCTTTCGAGTAAGACAATTGGGGAAAAAATAGGGCAAAATAGGGAAGAATAGAGAAAATAAGGGGGAAATCAGGAAAATCAGGATAAAATGGAGAAGAAAAAAAAATCTGGTAAAAAAAAAATAACTGATTTTTTTTTTTTTTTTTTTAAATTGGGAAGGAAAAAAAAAATCAGGGAAAAAATCGGGAAACCGATTTAAATCGGGTTTTTATCAGGCCTGCTTGTATGATAATGATACAGTGAAACCTCATTATAAGAAACTCTTGTTAGTTAAATTATGGCTAATGCTGCTCCATTTACCAAATGTATACCTGGCTGTGATGCCAAAATTCTGTGACATTAAACATTTTGTCATAAAAAATAAAATAAAATACTCTATGATTTCAAAATAAAATAAAATCCAAAGAGTAAGCCAAACAAATATTCCTCTTTACAAGAGTTTTTGTTCTAACAGTATTCTTTTATGAGATTCCACTACATATGCTTTACATGTCTATCAACTTTTAAGAAATAATAATAATAATAATAAATTATATTTCTATAGCACATTATACAAGGTATGTCTCTATGCGCTTAACATTGTATTACAAGCTTAATTAATTACATGCCTGGACATACGGTAATAATAATAGGCATTTCTATAGCACTGTCTATATAGAAATTCTATTCCGAGGCGCACTAATTATTATCCCGGCTTTAGCCTAGCTGCCATTACAACGCTTTAGCATTTCACTTACTCATGAACATCACTGAAGAACTGATGGACACATGTACAAAGATAATATTGACTTCCACACAATTTATTTACAACATCTTAAAATAATGGGGTTATCAATAGTTTCAGTTGTAATATATCTTTTGTACAAAGGTAGCCATAGATATGCACTGTACAATATTTACATACATGTACATGTACATTTCATTTTTACATGTTTGAAAACATCTCTAGGGGATATTGTCATCTGCTATTAAGAGCAAAACTCTGAAATTACTCAATGCAATAGACCAGTTCACGGTTAGCACATGTCCCAAATCACCCCGAATATCCACAAATCTTCAAAACATGAAGAGGTCCCACTTTGTAGATTTTGAAATAATGTCTCCTACAGCGATGGAAGTGCTACATAAATGGTATTTGTTTCCCCTTTTCAAAGAATACTTCCACCTGTGTATCATGGAGTGCACTGCTTGTGCATAAATGAATAATGATAACATAACTTTCATGAGCACGTATCAAGTATTTTGTCTCCGTGCATTTCACAATTTGGTCTACAATGACCTTTATCTGCTCATGCTCAGACTGCAACTATGAACTGGCTTATTGGATATATATCAAGAGATTCAACAGCCTTCTGGCTCTCGATCAACAGACACTATGGTATTGTAACTTTACATCTAGAGGTACAGAAAGCTATTAAACATGAGCAAATGCATGTTGGCCTTAAACAGAGAGTAAACTTAACATGGGGACTGCATATAAGCATTTCTAAACAAAACTTTATGAAATTATACATGAACAAGCATTGATGTCATGACATGCACTGAATGAAAAAAGTGGACTCAATTTTGAAATCAACAATCAAATTCGAACTAAAATTAAGAAAAGCATGCAGGATAGTATCCCTTTGTAAATTGTAACTACATATGTAATATCTCCTCCTCTTTCTTCTTCACGTTCTTCCTCCTTCTTGTTCTTCTTCATATTCTTCTTCTTCTCCTTCCTTCTCTCTTTTCAAGTAAGGGGACTCATCACTAATTTTCTTTCATAAACTCTGATGTACATACATGTAGTTGAAAATTCTTCAACAGCTTTCTGTTAATTACAACAACAAAACTACTGTTAGTTTCAGGCTTGAGTTTTATAGACAAGAAGGGCAAGTCCACAGTATTTAGTCATTACCAGGGGGGGGGGGGGGGGGTGTTTCACAAAGATCCTAAGTCGAACTTAACTCTAAGTTAGACTTAAACATTATGGACAGCAATTTGTAGTCTTTGAATAAAATATATTCAAAAGCGAAAATTGAAGTATTTTAGACTTTTTACAAACTCCACATCAAGAAACATGAAATCTCCTTGATAATAGAAAATATGAATAATTTGAATCAAAATATTTTCATAGATGCTAACGGCTTTACATAATTGTTAAGTCCAACTTAGAGATAAGTTCAACTTTATAGGACCTTTGTGAAACAACCCCAAGTATCATGGATTGTCTCCTCTACTTTATGTATATATGGGAGGCATTAGCTAGAATACTGTTTGATGATTACTGAATAGATAGCAGTATACTGTACACTGCATTTCTCTATATAAATACATGTATAAAGTACATATTTACATCATTGTTATTATCATCTACATTATGTTTTGAAATACATGTATAAAGATGACTCAATTCAGCCTGAAACCAGCTGGACACACATGTACACATAATAATCTAAAAATTAGATAGTAATGATAATATTATCATAAAATCATCATAATAATATCATAATAATATCATAATAATATTATCATTATACAGTGTATAATAGATTGTTCATATCCTGCATTAGACGTTATGACTGTCAGTTACATGTACAACCACAGTAGATAATATCAATCACAGTGTACATAGGCATAGCAATAATATTAGAATATTATAAAAAAGAAAGCATTAACTACATGTATTAAAAACTGCTGGGAAAAGCCAAATCATGAAAATGTAAAAAGTCAGATTTCTTTGAAAATACTTCTGTTTTACCTATAAGGAAGCGATTTGTGATTTAGCTTCAGTTTTGAGACAGGACTTAAAACTACAAGGTAAAAAGCTCTTTTGAAAAAGTGCTGCAGCAAGATAAAAATACTTAAGACTTGTTACAGCGGTAAACTGCAGCAGTTTTTAAATAATTGTTATGATGGTGTAATAGCTGTTTATGTATGTACATGTATAGTTGTTTACAGCATCATGCATAATCGTGCCATCAAAGTGTCTAGTTCTGGAAATATTTTAAGTTTTTCCTATGAAACCCAAGAGGGCCTATCCCTTGTAGATGGTGCGAAGCCCATTGATTCGCCCTCACAAACTGGTACAATGCCCATTGATTAATTCCCATATATATGCAAGGGGGTGATATCATCGCATGGACAGGGTCCTGAGGGCCTGCTGATGAGTTTTCAATTTAAATAAACATCTGGAAGGTGATGAGTTACTCATACTCCAGGAGGGGGGGGGGGGGGGGGTGATTCACAAAGACCCTAAGTCAAACTTTATTCTAAGTTGGCCCTAAACATTATGAAGAGCCAGTTATAGCTTAAATTAAATATATTCAAATGCACAAATTCTTAAACGTTTCATAAATTCCACATCAACAACATGAAATCTCATTGATAATAGAAAATATGAATGATTTGAATCAACATTTTATGCCTTTTAAAATAACTTTTACAAAATAATTTCAAAGATGCTAACGGCTTTCATATAATTGTTAGGTCCAACTTAGGATCTTTTTGAAACACCCCCCTAGCTGACTTTCAATTATAGGCATGACCATCAAACAAACTTGAAACTTCAAAGACCCACTTATCTATCCAGAATAACCTCTGACACGTCTGTCTTGACTCTATGAATTCAATACTAGCTTCAATTTCTGCAGTGGTGCACTGTCATATGGAGGGGAGACCAAGAGAGCTTGCTAATCTGCCTGCGCATTCTCCATGTAACTCCTGTATGTATGGTGATACATCCTCATGTACATAACTCCTGAAAGGTGCAGGGTGACTCCAAATCCAGGCCAGGGAGGAGGGGGAGGGGGGGGGGGAGGGTGGCCTGTCGGGGGACTCCAGGCCAGGACTTCCTTTAGTTTGTGATGTTGCCCAGAGGGGCTCTGGATTTATCCTGCAGGGGGAAAAAAGGATGACATGACATTAGTTCTTATTGGAAATTAGATACATTCATTGTTTGAGAAAAATAAAAAGATTGGGGGGTAGGGGCATCATGGGGTCCTTTCTGATATCTTGTGATAACTTCACAATGAAAAACAATTCCATTTAATGAGGAGAAACACATTACATCTAACTATTTTCTTGATTAAAATCAAAGTAATATGACAAACCATGGGGAAGGGGTGCTTCTCATAACTTTGTGCACACTTGGAATTTAAAGTTAGTAAATGAAAATTATTACTGGTCAATATCCTTACTACAACTCAGGGGACACCAAAAAGGGTGGCTTTTTTTATTTTAGCAGGTGTCCATTATCATATAGGCTGCCTTAATAAATGTATATAAACACAGTTCCAATGAAGAAAAAAAATATATTAAGTTTACAGGAAGTTAATCTTTTCTTTAATACAGGTGGATACTGACGCTGGAGCTGGTTTCCTTGTTCATACTCAGTAACCCACATTATCTTGGTAATAGACTGAGCTTTCATCCTACCTTTTTGGAGGTCTTTCCAGGCAGCCCCTTATAGACAGTGAATGTGTTAGGATCCCCTTGACGAAGCTTGCTGTTAGAAAAAGAAAAAAAAGAAGCAAAATGAACATGACATACAGTTTAAAGATAAAGTTGAGTTCTGGTCATGCGATTGCAATGTGAAAGAAACGTTATGGAATCGATCAGAAAAGGTTGATAATCTAGCAGTTAAGTATTGATGTGTGCTGCAAGGTTCTGTTATTATCAAAATGATAAGAAATTTGGCCCAGTCTTGGTAAAATTACAAGCACTGTACACAGAAAGATGTATATGGGACTACACAAACATGTAGCGCACAAATCCGTCACGATTTTTATGATGTAACATGCCATAACATGCCATATTTATGATATTATGGCATTTGAAGAGCCATGCTTTTCAGGGAACATTTTGTATCTGACGTTCTACCACACTTGCATAGTACAATGATAACGTTCACAAATAATTTTTCACCTCTTCCCAGAACTCAACCTTCTCTTCAAGTAAAAGGGAATATTTATCAAAAGTGATGGACAGACAACTTGAAAACATGTGCATCAGGAAAGAGGCGTAAATTCCTTGCTACTAAACAATTTGTCAATAGAAAATTTTGAAACATCCTCAATAACACAAAAAAGCTTGTCACAAGTTGCTTTTAAATTAAGTCACAGAGTTGCTAATTCATTATTGTAAAACTGGTAAATTGTGTGCAAGAAACCTTGCAAATTGGCCCTAATTAACAAGGTTCATGCTTGAAAGTGACTGACACATAAACAATGAATATTTGCGATTTGCAAAAGTATCTTATGATGAAAAATGGCAACAGTCAGCACAATTACAACAGGTAGGGAGTTTAAACTAAGGAAATATAGGAAGAAGCCTTGTGATCAAACCATTCAAATCAGAAGAGATTCATGTACATGCGTGTAGTAACATTTTCATTGTAATATCATATTTTTTTTAATATATCAAACATATATTACCTATTGATGCTTGGTTCCTTATAGCTGACTGCTTTAGACCTTCTTCCTCTCCTCTCTGGTACTTCTGGAACAGGTTCAACATCAGCCCTGGCCACCTTGCTTGGCTTGCCATCAGGAACATCATCATCATCACCTGCCATTGATTTCCTCTTGCTGGTTTTCTGTGCCTTTGCCTCATCCTTCTCCTCCTCTCTCCTGTTAGGTTCCGACTCATCGGGTTGGTTGTTCTGAGTATTGCTTGTTGATCTGTCTAGGGCCTCATCTTCATTTGCACTCCGTAATGCATCATCCATCCTAGAAGTCTGTACTGGTTCTGTCCTATGTTTTGAAGCCTGTTTTGCTACAATGTCCACATTCATGATGTCCATAGTGTTAGTATAGCCTGATTTCACTTTCCTCTTGCTTTTCTGTTCTTTGGCCTCTTTGTTCTTGGTGGCTTCTGGCTTATCAGGTTGATCAACCTGGCTCATACCCGGGATGTACCAAGAGCCTCTAAGACATCATCCTCCCTCATCCGTGACCCGCTGGAAGATGAAGGATCTCCTGTAGAGGGCTGTTCTGATTCTTTTGAAGTCTGTGTTTCTGAGATAACACTTTCAACCTCACCATCAACTTCATTCTCGTCTTTGGATTTGAAATCATCAAAGTTTCCAAAAAAGGTCTTCGCAATGTCGTTTAAAACAACAAATGTCTTTCTACTTGTTTGTTTCTGGTTTTTAGATTTGCTTATCCTTGTTGTGCCTATTTCACTATTCTGGGTGGTTTTACTGACTTTGTCTTTCTTTACCTCTTCAAAATCACATATATCGTCATGGTTAAAAGTGACATTCAGTTTTGAATCTCCTTTAGATGCTTGTCCACTGGGTTTCAGGATGGTTGTTCTCCTTTGGGTTTTATTGGACGCTCTAGCTTTGGGTTCATCCACTTCCAGCAAGACATTTTCCAGATCTTCCAAAATGTCTGTGGTAGTGTTCGAGGAACTGGAAGACGTTTTAGGAAGTAAGGATGCGCTATCTGACTTTGGATTATCCAAATTGAGTGAACTTGCATTGAGAGCACTTGTATTCAACTCACCCGTTCTTACCTCAGATTTCCTGTCTACTCTTGATTGTCTTGGATCCTCTACACTGTCATCATCGCCAAAGTAGAAGCTCTTCTTTGATAATTTCCTTTTGGAGGATTTTCGATGGTGAGGTTTCAGCATGAGGTCATTCAGGCTCTCCCCTCCATCTTTCAAGCTGCTCTTGGACTTGGACTTGCGAGATTTCCTCTTTATCTTGCCGTGTTTTTCTTCTTGGGAGATCTTTTTGTTTTTACCACGAGTATCAAATTCTTGGTTGGCAAAGTCATCTTCCGCCTCTGCATCATTGCTGAACTCTGTCTGGGCTATCTTTTGGAGTCCATCTCCTGAACCGCTGCCAGTAGTTGGCTGATGGAACTTGTTGTCTTCCTTTACAGCCTCATCAGGCTTAGACTCGGTTGCAGCCCCAGGCTTACAGATTAGACGTGATGGGGTAGGATGTGAGAAGCTATCCCCTATAGAAAGATCGAACACGGTCATCTGTTGGATGTCCTTCTCATCCCTCCGCCTTGTAGAATCCTTGTTGGTTCCCATCCTAGACTGAGACTTGTGCATGCTTTTCTTCAGCTTTGATGTCTTTGATTTACCCTTCATCAATACCGGTAATCTGCTCTTTGGCTTTTCCTTGCAGGGATCGGCAGACCTTTGTGTCTTTTGGCTGGTATCACCATCACCAGAGGGCGAACCAAGCTTTGACCCCTTAGACCCTTCTGTGCTCCCAGTCACATTGTTCTCATTGCTTTTTGTTTGGGAGTCAGCTCCTTCGATGACCGAAATATGCCCACCGGCAGCAGTGGTCAACTCCATGTCCACAATCCTGTAATCAGACTTTTCTGCACTGTTTCCATCTTTAACTCTCTCACATCTATCATCAGGGAGGGTACACAGTGGGACTTTCTCTTCATGTTGGTCATCTTTTGATTCACCAACCACCGCATGCTGATCTGTTACCATCAAACCCTCAACAGCACTTTCACATACATGATCTCTGTTTTTTTCTTTGTTGATCTTCTTAGCGTTTTTGTCTTTTTTCTTCTTCTTGCTTTTCTTGCGTGTCTTCTCACCTGGCTGTGCAATGATAACGGTAGCCCTTCATCAGGCTCAATGGCATCACTCTTATGCTTTTGCTGAAGTTCAGCCTCTGCTTCTTCTACATTATCTTCCTGTTGGTTTAGGTTGCCCACTTTGGAGCCAACGTTGGCCTCGTCGTCATCATCATCAAGGATTTCAATCTCCATCAAGTCATCCTCTGTTCCAAAGGTCTTCAAGTCATCACCTTCTTTCACAAAGGTACCCCTCCTCCTTGACAGTCTCCTGCTTCTCTCTCTAGAGCCTCTTATATCTGAACTGCTTTCTATTATTTCTTCATCCTCTGGAACTAGTTCCATACAGTCACCCTTTTCTTTGCTTTCATCTTCATCATCATCATCGGGGTAGACGTAGGTTCTCCTTTTGTTAGAAAGCCTTCCACTCCTCCTCTTTCCAGCATCATCCTTACTCATGCTTGATGCATCTCCCGTCTCCTCATCTACTTCGCCATGTCCATGTTCAGAAGCTACTGATTCTTTCCTCAGGGAAAGCCTCCCACTTCTCTTCTTGGTGACCCTCCTGTCAGGACTCTCTTCACCACTTTCAACTTCATCCATCTCGATATCCTGTGTAGTCTCCTCGTCATCTATGCAAACTGTAGCTTGTTTCTTGTCACTACCTTCTCCATCATCGCCTGTCTCCTCCAACACTGTACGGATATTCTCTACTGATTTCTCAATTTCTGTTGCGACGGCAGCCATGGTAGCAGGATTCAGGAGGGAGGAGGTCCTTCTTGAGACTTTCTGATTCTCTGCAGATATATTCCTTGTGTCTCGACGAGTTCTCTCTGGAAAGGTGAAAATGATAATCCAAACCAAAAGCATATAAGCACAAATATCGTATTTATTTAAATATACATTAAGAATCCACAATAAGAATATTCTCAATCTGATGTCACTACAAAATCTCAATCAAGTCCTACACTTAGGTAAGGTTAAGTAACAGGTAAAACATTTCTTACACACTGAAAGCTGTTTTTATTATAGCAATACAAAATATTCATAAAACCTGTTCGAAAATAGGTTAATTAATTCCAAATCGATCATTTCTCAAAAGAGAAAAAGGAATTGTAGATAATCACAGCCACAGTTTAATATGTTAAAAATGTAATTTGTAAATGACAGAAAACAGGGGGACGGGAACAAAGAATATTAGGTAATTCATTAAAAAATTAAGATAATCTACTCTATGGTTTTCAAATTCATTGCTCATACCAAAGACTAGGGCTCTGTCTCATAAACAGTTATGACTGATTTAAATCAATTGCAACACATTTATGGACAGGTGTTTGTAAGCTTGCAATTGACTGGAGGACTTGCGATCTGGATAAATCGCAACTCCTAATATTAGAATGGACCCAAATTAGTGAGAGAAAAAAAAGGTGCAGTGGCAGATATGCCAACCTTTACATTCAGCTTTCAGGGAAGATTCATTCAGAAATCAGGGAGGTTTCTATCAATTGCATACAGCATTTTTTGTGTGGAGTGACATTTTAAAAAAAATTAAAAATTCAGGGAGCCTCCCTGATTCATGAAAATCAGGGAGGGGTGGCATCTTTGCAGTGGTGTATTTATATTTGATGCAATATATATCCATGCAAAGCTGAAAAAATACAAACATAATCATATTTTTGCAATCATTTTCTTCGTACCTTTTCCTTGTGGAGCTTTCTTATCAGACATGAAACAGAGAGGAACATCAATGTCAGGCAAGTCCTCAATCTCTTCCTCAGGGTTGTTCTTGACGGTCGACTGATTTAAAATGTCTTTGTTGGCTGGAATCCTGCGAGGGATGCTACTTAGGTTCGGTGCAGAAGTCTTGGCAGATGCAGATCTGCAGCAGATTTTAAAAGGAAAATGAAAAAGGGTGAAAGTGCATGATTGGTGACAATGAAATAAATAAATCATGCATTTGCGGATGAACTGTAAAATAGGCCTCTATATATTATGGATTAATGCCTTGCCATAGTATGTTAGTGCCAGGCTTGGATTTGAACCCTCAACCCTTTAACTTAGAGCCAAGTGAATGAAACACTATACCACAACACCTACACATGGTGTGAACGCTGTGTCCATCAAATACTGTAAAAGTAGAAATATTTGAGTTAATTATTTTTTGCGCATTTCTCGCTAAGATCGGCAAGCGCGAATTTCAGAACTCGCGAAAATATAATCATGACTTCTTATACGTGTATTGACAAGCTTAATTACATGCAACACGAATTTAAGAACCAGCGAATAAGTTTTGGGGTCGCTCAGTGCGAAAAATTAATCACACAAAAATAACAGCGTTTACAGTACAACTCACCCTCCTTCTTCTTTTGTCTCTGAATCTGAAAGGTCGTCTGAGGTCAGGGAGGACGTCCTAAAGATGAGTCCTAGGCTTCTATCTTTGGTATGACGAGGGATGACACACATGTCCATAGCTTGACCCAGAAGACCTACTGTGTCCATCAAGCTACAGGTCACTTTCCTCAGGACTTCATGTACCCCCTTGATTTGGCTCTACAGGATATACAAGAGAAAGAGAGAGAGAGAGAGAGAGAGAGAGAGAAAGAGAAAGACAAAATTGGGGGTGAAATATTCATTGAATGCTTAAATAAGCTTAAATAAGTATGATCAAACAGCAACTAATCAAGGAAATTATATATTATATTCTGAAAATGCATGAAATTAAAACTATAATACGAAGTGTGAAGCTTTTTGAATTTGAAGACTATTTGCCTAATAATTCAAAATAAATTTATGATAAAAAAACTTGGATTTTTAAAAAAAAATTAGTGATGCATATTTACGAACAGTTGAAAGTACACTTGGATTTTCACAATAATGGACAAGTTTTCTTGCTTCACCGTGCTAGTGTTTTGTGTCCCATCTTGCATCACCAACCAAAATCAATTTACATGATGTACCTACCCTCTGTTTGTCGTGTTGGCCTTGGAAACGATTCACGATCGATTGCAACATATGGCGTTCTCTCTGTAATTCCACAAGATCATTTTGTGCATGGCGATGCTCATTACGCGATACTTCCAGGGATTTTGCGAGGGTGCGATTGTTTTGTCGTAAAGTGGCCTTCAAGACAAGGTTTGCTAATAGATGAAAAAAAATTAAAAATCGACTTCAATTCGTTCTGCTTCAAATTATTTAGTTGAATGTATAGTGCAGTTTTTTCATACATGTAGATTGGATAAATTTCCGCATTTGGGCATATTACTATTATAACCGGCAACTTTAGAACACATTTAAACACAATCCAACTTGAAATACTCAATAGCCTTACAGTCTCTCCCTCTACAAAGAAATATGAAAAGTAGAACCTGTCCAAAAAGACCACCTACTCAACACTCATAGTAGCCAGTTTCATTTTTTCCCTATAAGTGGCCTAAGGAGACAAATTTCCTTATCAAGAAAAACAGGCGCGGATCCAGGATTTCTTAGGGGGGGGGCCCAAATCGGAAATTATGCGAGCCAAATATTGGAACGTTATGGTGACCAACAGTGACGTAATGCGGGGGGGGGGGCGAGTTTCCCCCTCCCAGGCTTTGACGTTTCATTATATTATTAGAGAAAGAAGACGATTCGTTGTACCGTTCTCGAAATAATTCTCGTCTGAATTTAGTTTTTCCCCTCCCGCGCGAAGCGCGGAAAATTTTACGACTTATTAAATTATTAGAGAAAGAAGACGATTTGTTGTACAGTTCTCGACTCTTAATCCTTGTCTAAACTCAGCCCCCCCTCCCCCTCCTGCGCGAAGCGCGGAAGCTTTGACGTTTTATTAAACTATTAAAGGAAGAAGACGATTCGTTGTACCGTTCTCGAAAATAATTCTCGTTTGAATTTAGTTTTTCCCTCCCGCGCGAAGCGCGGAAAATTTTACGATTTATTAAATTATTAGAGAAAGAAGACGATTCGTTGTACTGTTCTCGACTCTTAATCCTTGTCTAAATTCAGCCCCCCCTCCCCCTCCTGCGCGAAGCTTTGACGTTTTATTAAACTATTAAAGAAAGAAGACGATTCGTTGTAATGTTCTCGACTCTTAATCCTCGTCTGAATTATGCCCCCCCCCCTCCCGCGCGAAGCGCGGAAGCTTTTACATTTCATTAAATTATTAGAGGAAGAAAACGATTCGTTGTAAAGTTCTCGACTCTTAATCCTTGTCTAAAATCAGTCCCCCCTCCCCCTCCTGCGCGAAGCGCGGAAGCTTCTACGTTTCATTAAATCATTAGAGAAAGAAGACGATTTGTTTTACAGTTCTCGACTCTTAATCCTCGTCTGAATTCAGGTTCCCCCCTCCCGAGCAAAGCGCGGAAGCTTTTAATCTTCATTTAATCATTAGAGAAGAAGACGATTCATTGTACCGTTCTCGAAAATAATCCTCATCGGAATTTAGTTCCCCCTCCATCCCGCGCGAAGCGCATAAGCTTTTACGTTTCATTAAATAATTAAAGATTCGTATTACCGTTCTCGCCTCTGAATCTGAATCCTCGTCTCAATTCAGCCCCCCCCCTCCTCCCCTCCTGCGCGAGAAAGAAAACGATGCGTTGTACCGTTCTCTATATTCTTAATCCTTGTCTGAATTTCAAAGAGGTGGGGTCGAGGCGGCGGAGCCGGCCCCCGGAAGCCCAGCGGTTTTAGGCGTTTAATTAAGGTCAGATGAGCATATTTTTGTGTATACCTTATTATTTTGTGACACTGGCAAGTCACTATTTGGCGTGGGGTCCAGGGGGCGGAGCCCCAAAAAATCAGGAGTTTTAGGCATTAAATTACCGTCAGATGATCATCTAAGAGGTCGCCGTAGGGCCCTAGATGGAATCCAGGGGGCAAAGCCCCCGGAAGCTTAGGGGTTTTAGGCATTTAATCACGGTCAGATGAGCATATTTTGATGCCTCGAGGCTCTTGATCCCCGCCGTACCTCGGGCCCTGACATGTAGGAATCTCAAGAATCATATTTTTTGCCTGGTTGTAAATTTAGGAATTTTTTTTTATTTTCCAACAAACACATACAAACGTATAATTTACTAAAAAGTGAGGAAAAATTTCGGAAATTATGTCATTTCAGCATTATTTGTAATACACCGTTGTGGAATCAGAAATAAACCACGTTTGAATTTGATTTCCCCCAAGCCCCCCCCCCCCCTCTATCAGTACGCCAGTATCTCCTCTTTTCCTTTTTTTTCTTTCCCTTTCCTTCCTTCTCTCTTATTTTTTTTTTTGATTGGGGGGGGGGGGGGGGGGGGGGGTTAACAGCCTGGGAGGCAAGGCCCTTTCGGCCCCCCCCCCCCCCCCGATTTCCTTCTTCCCCCTTTACTTTTCTTCTTCCTCTTCTTTCTTTCCCTTTTCCCTTTCTCCCTTCTTTTCCTTCTTCTCTCTTTTTTTTTTTTTTTTTTTTTTGCGGGGGGGGGGGGGGGGGGGGGGCCAAGGCCCGCTCGGCCCCCCCCCTGGATCCGCGCCTGAAGAAAAACATATGACAATAACTAATTTTGCAATGAGAATCTGAGACAATCACATCAGCACATCAAGGAGAGAACTATCACATCTGTAATTTGAATCAAGAGAAATCCATCCTGATAACTGATATCACGTTAATTTGAATCAAAGCAAATAAATTTCATTGTTTTTCTAAAAAAATATATTCATCATATCTGTGCCAGAAACACGTAATAGGAAATTGGAAACATCTTCATATTCTCCTATACATGTACAAAAATGAAATTTGTTAAATCTTAATAATTTCTTGAAAATACTTAGCTGACAAAGTAAACCATAGAGTTTGACAATTTGTTAAAGACCCTCTAAAGTGTTGGGACTTGAAATTTGATGGCAAAATTTCACTTTGATTGTATTTGTATCATAATGTGAAAGAGGGTGTCATTTACATATAGACACATTTCTGAAGGATTTTCAAAACAAATGTGTTTGAAGTCCAATATTGATGAAAGAATACAACATTTTGGTTTTCTACATACAACAGAAAACCCAAATTATGTATTCTTAATCAATATTTGTCTTCATACACATTTTTTGGGGAAATCTTTGCAAAAATTTGTCTTAAAGCAAGACTGCACTACTTGTAGCTACTTGCGCCCTCTATATAGCAAACAATGCCTAAGTGGTACCCGTTGGTCCCCCATGATCCCCCTTTTCTTATGTTAATTGAGAGCTGATTTGATGAGATAACCATCTCTCAGTGACCTGGCAGGGAGGTTTAATCCCTCCTTGCCAAACTAGTGCAGATGGGCTTTAATTGACATCCTCTTTCACATTATGATACAATTTAAGAGAAATTGTGCCATCAAATTTGGGGCGATTTTGGGGCTCCCAACACTTTAGAGGGGCTTTAAATAAACAGTTGCAGTAACATGGAACATTTGCAAAACTTAAATTCAATGATCCCATGTTCTGTACACAAAAAATCATAACTGTCTTATTTGCCCAATTTCTTTCAAACCCAACTTGTTACTAGGCTTAGACTCCCCTGCAGAACCCTGAGATGGTAGATAAGATATGGTTTGGAGCCATAAGGGAGTTAACTCTGTATGAAAGAATTGAGTGAATGCCCTATTGCCCCTTGCGGCTCCAAACATACATAGGCCCGTCTTCACTATCTCGAGATTGCCAAATATCCAGCTATTTGAACTATCCCGATCGCAAACTATCCAGCTAATTGCGTCTTCATTAGAACAAAGTAGCAAATTAGCTGGATAGTTGGTCGGGATAATATCCCAAGATATCTCGGTCTAGTTTGCAAAATATCCCACTATTTCCGAACTAGCGGGATAGTTTGCGACCGTCTTCATTAGACCGAAGTACGGAGTCAAATATCCCGATCCCATCATGCACCGCTGAGCGGTATAGATCGCATGTGCCCGCACCAGTACAACTAGTCAACACGGTGAACCAGAAATCGTTGTTCATAATGGGATCGGGATATTTGAATCCGTACTTCGGTCTAATGAAGACGGTCGCAAACTATCCCGCTAGTTCGGAAATAGTGAGATATTTTGCAAACTAGACCGAGATATCTTGGGATATTATCCCGACCAACTATCCAGCTAATTTGCTACTTCGTTCTAATGAAGACGCAAATTGGCTGGATAGTTTGCGATCGGGATAGTTCAAATAGCTGGATATTTGGCAATCTCGAGATAGTGCAGACACACCTCATGTGTACAATATACTAACCATTTTTATGACGTGACCTTGAATGACTGAGGTCAGCCTGGACTTTTTTCCGTCTCTTTTCTTTCATCTTAGATCGGATTTCTTCAATACTCCTCTCAAGGGCATCCTCTTTGGTGTTTGTTTCCACTTCCATGTTTTCCTATCAAGTAAAAAAAAAAAGGGAATACTTTTTGCTCATAACACTTGTTGAACATGAGTGTTGAAATATAATGTTTCTAAAAATTTAGATCTTATGTGAAGGTTTTAAACAGGATGAAGATAATACCTTGATATCAACATTATACTCTATCATGTTTGTGTAAAAGAAGTTGGTCTTGCACCCCAACTGAGTACCACTTTACAATAAAGCAAAATTCACAAGTCATTACAATTTCTGTTATCTTATACAGAAACAGTGAGTTACATGTACATCTACTTAACTTGGTCTAGAGACTAGACTCATGTAGATAAACAAGGTGATAGTTTGAAAAAAATAATATAAATCAAGAGAATAGTAGTTTGATGCAAAATATGATTTGAATTCAATTGGAGTTCATCAACAAAATTCCTCAGGTATAATTTTGTTTAAAGAACAGAAAGAAAAAAGCTTGTTGTTGGAGAATCTGGACTAGACCCTATAGTTACTTACATGTATATAGGCTATGTAAATGATGAAAAAATGTGACTGCTGATTTTTTTTTAAACTTTCAATTTAATCCAAAGTGACTTTAAAAATAAAAGCCTGTTACAGGACCAAATTTCCTTTCTTTTGATGGGTGGATTGCCAAATATATGAGGTATGTATTTATAATATGAATTAATCAAAGTTGCTATTTATAGAAGATCCCTAGATCTATATCTACAGAAAGCTTAAAAGCCGTACAATGAGCTTGAATGACTTCAAACAATACAACACTTCCGTAAAAGCGGAATTAGGGTGAAAATATCACCCTATTCTCTGGGACAAATTTGCCCTATTTTCATCAGAAACGGACATTACATGTAGCTGTGACGTCAGAAAAGGGAGGCATGGCGTAGACTAGACCGAATTTTCCGTCTCTTTCGTTCGTTAGCCTCTTATTGGGGTAGGGTCGGCTCTCTCTTTAGAGACGGAAGCCGTTTATACACATGTCCTTGCTAACGCCACGGCCAGTTCTGGTCGTAGCGTTTTGCCCCCAAAATCCCCCAAAATGTCATTTTACCTTGAGCATGTTATATTGTAAATTAGGCCTAGGCTATAATAAATCAGTTCCACTTACCAACTTGACTGAAATAATCAGTTTAATAGTCCCTTTTTAGGAAATTATGGGTCAAAATCGGAATCCATGTTGAAAAAGATTTTCAAAATGGATTCCGATTTTGACCCATAATTTCCTAAAAAGGGACTATTAAACTGATTATTTCAGTCAAGTTGGTAAGGCGAGGCGTCAAAAATATCGATACCAGCAGGCTGCCGCCTCACGTATTGGCGCATCGAGGCTGCAATTATGGCCGAAGCCTGGCTGGGGCAATTATTTTTGACTTATTAGCCCAGCCGGCTTGCGCCAGGCTGGGATCTGAGGCTCGGTTTCCATTCGAAAGGCGGCAGCCGGCGCATGCTTTTGAATGCCATTTCCTACCGCCAGCGGTAGCCGGCTGAGCTAATTTAAAAAATGCAGCCAGGACGCACAAGTGCAGTTAGCTGCCGCTGGCTGGTATATTAATTTTTGACGCCTCGCCTAAGTGGAACTGATTTATTATAGCCTAGGCCTAATTTACAACATAACATGCTCGAGGTAAAATGACATTTTGGGGGATTTTGGGGGCAAAACGCTACGACCAGAACTGGCCGTGGCGTTAGCAAGGACATGTGTATAAACGGCTTCCGTCTCTAAAGAGAGAGCCGACCCTACCCCAATAAGAGGCTAACGAACGAAAGAGACGGAAAATTCGGTCTAGGCGTAGACCTACTAGCAGTGATTGAGTTCAATTATTTTGTTAGGATTTGTGGCCAAATTTATTCATTAGATTTAATAATTGTAAGTTGAGTTCACTTCAACGGAAAAGTACGGATGAAGATGGAGGACCATCCAGACCAAATGGAGAGAAGAAAGATGGAAAACAAACTGTTTTGTTTTGAACACAGCTAGACCCTAGTTTGGTTTTTTCTGTGTGTACATAGACCTCTATCTACATAGATGTATATCTCAGCTGGCATGCTAAAGCTGGTAAAAAAGTTGAGTGTTACAGATATTGTCACTTTTCCAATGCCAATAATGACATGAAATTGAATATTGACATTAAATATATGTTTCAAATAGTTACGTTCAGGCCTAAAGCAGGTTTGATGCGAAATTAAGGCTGGGCGGAAGCACTCCAGCAAAGCATAGAGAGTCAATGCCAATGCGTAATTGCGTATCACCTCTAGCACTGCATGCTTGCTGTGAGGTGGGTATTTTTAGACCCCATACACAAATACACACACCACACAATATTGCATAGACTGTACACAATCATGTCGATGCAGCTGTAAGCAAAGTTTGACACTAGACTTACAATTTGAATTTTTAAATTATTCTTTTTAACATCAGTAGAAGATCTAAGTAAAAAAAAATGTATTTTACTGATATTTAGGTGTCATCAATTGTCACTAAAGTACCGATTTTTAGTGAAATCAGTTGAGTTTTGTACAGTGGTTTTTAAAATGTTGAGAATCAAAAGCACAGCTTTTACTACACAGCCAGGATAGTGATGCTCCTATGTGTGGGCGGAAGCAGTGTTTTTCATCAGGAGTGGTGGGCGTAATAATCCCCGAGCTGGGCCGGGCCGGGCGGGCTCGCCCAGCGCCGCCCACCGTAGCTATAGATCTAGATCTAGGGGATCTAATGCTGCACCTGTATTACCGACTAGACGATTAATCGTCAAAAAATTACCGTGTAGACGACCACCACAGGCCTAATCACGACCTCCCCACCCGGCACCCCCGACTCTAGCTAGATCAGTCACACGAAATTCAGTACGTGGGACAATGCGAATTAAATCTAAGGTCGTACTTATCCAGATTATACCTTTACTAGCCGAGATTCAGAGTACCATACAGGCTAAATTGCATTATTGATACTTCAAAAATACATGAAATCCAAACGAATAATCATAAAATTAATAACACTTACATTCCTCTGTTGTTTATGTCTACTCCGAGATCGAGTTGGTGACTCCGAATTTGACGCCATTTTGAAAATACCGCTATAAACTTTTTTACGAGCTCTGATTGGTCAATGAAGTCTAGCATGTGGTGCGTACGGTTGTTCCCCTTTTCATTATTTGTGTTTGTTTACAACAGTTCTAAAACTGGGAGATGGGGGTGGGGGGGGGGGGGGGGGGGGGGGGGCTGAGCCCCTCTCAATAAAAGAGGTTTGAAAAAATGCCCACAGCCTCCTTTTACTATGTCCCATTTGAAGGCAAAAAAAAAAATTACATTTGAATGGCATTTGAAAGACAATACTTAGATATAGAACTTCCCTCAAAACGAAAGGGCTTGAAAATGGCTTTTAGTTCGAAAATAATGAACACTAGTAATGTTATCGAATCGAATTAAGTGATTGCAATCGCCTAAGCAATAGTCTGATTTTGCGACCCTTTTACCGAATGGTCATACGTTTTGTGCTGCACAATTATTAAACCAGAAGTTCTGCAATTACAAGTTAGGTTATTGCAGTACACATAATATATGCTCATGTACTTGTTACAGCTCATTTTATGTACCGGTATGTTATTACCAAAGGAAAAATAATGTCAATCAATCACTTATGTCTGACAGTGAAGTCTAGAAGGTAAATGGGTCTCCTTGCATAATTTGAAAACTTGGACACTGCTCATGTTTAAATTTCACAGATAGGATGATATTCAAAATTCCTGCACAGTCCTACAGAATAAGATGTTGGCTGCAAAAGGGACATTATCTTTAAGGGCACGCCAACTTTTGAAATAAATTTTTAATCGTGTGAAAGCAGATAGCAGAAACAGAGACACTAATAGTGAAAGTTTGAGCATATCGGACACAAAGATGTGATATGAATGTAAAATTTATACTTGGTCTGTGGATTGAGGCAGAGGCGGCGGATCGACTTCTAAAGTGGGGGGCGGGCACCGCCAAAAAAGGGCACTTTTTGGAGGAAAAAAAAGGGCACCTTCAAAGGGAAATCTCAAAGCGAAAATATGTGATGTTTTAGACATTGGTATATACAAGAAGTTTTAAGAGATGGAGTCCTATCTAGCTTATTCCATTTGTACCATCTTCGATGCCGTCAGGAGAAAGTATGTCAGGGCATGTGCTTAACTGGACCTTCCTTGCAGATTCCTGCCTAGCTGCAAAATAGCCGGCTACTTTCAAAGGGAAATATGGTTTTATAATGCTAATTACTTTTCGCTACCACTCGTCTGATAATACGAGCAGTAGGCCTACACAGTGCTTACCTTTAGCAGGAGGCAAGTGAAAGAAATGGAGCAAAATTGCCTGAAATATTAATGAAAATTACTCCACTGGGCATGAGTGGGCACTAATCTGACATACACCATCATAAAGAACTGTACACGAACAAATTCACTTTTTATTTTCGTGAGCCGCAAGTAATCGGAAAAGTGTCAAATTGTAGGTTTTAGGACTGTAAATTTTTACTACTTTTCGCAAATTAAAGCTGCTATCATACAATGTAAATACATTTCTTGACACAATTGGGCTTTTGTACTCATATTTTATCATCCATTAGATTTCCTCCTTGTTAGTTCAAATAAAAAGTGAAGTATTACGGATATTTCTTTGTGACAAGAATCACTACTCAAGCTTTCCAATGATATTGGCGGCTTCGAACCTCGGATATCAAAGGTAACAGCACACCAGTATATTCCATTGTGTAACCATAGAAAACGGCAGCTGCTTGGGATAATTTGTTGCTTGTTGGGTCTCCAGCTCTTAAAACCCCTTGGTATATACCCCTATATTGTGATTACATTATCAGGGATGATTTCAATATTTGTTTCTCTTTATACATCATAATTATAAGATATACTTTGCAGTATATGGTGTGATGGTCTGAAAAATCATTTGTGAGCGAGCAAAGCGAATGAGAAACTTTTTAAAGATTTGTGAGGTCGCAGTGCGAAAAATTACATCTTATAAAGAGGAAAAACCCAATCCTGATGGGGTTATAAGCACATTCTCATAACGGAAGACTGAAAAGGCCTTTGATAAGTTACATAATTATAACATTTATAATTACGAGCGAGCGTAGCGAGCGAACTTTGAAATTTGAAATTAGTCGCTTGAAATTAGGGGCGCGTTTAATGGTGAGAGGAAAAGGGGACACTTATCGAAAGGGTTAAGACATTTATTAGAAATGAAAAGGAGCACGTGTCGAAGTACAAACGCTAATTATCAGAGGTGAAAATGGGGCACTTCTTACAACTAAAAAAAGAGACACGCACCAGGGATGAAAAGGGATTTTATGAAAATGGGAAATGAGTATTTGTCGACGGAAAAGAGGCACCCATCAGATGTAGATAGGGACATATTTTATAAAAAGTGAAAAGGGGCATTTATGAAAAAGGGATAGGCTCCATATTAGAAAAGAAAAGGGGCACATATCATTGTTAAAAGGGTAATTATCAGAGATGAAAAGGGGCACTTATCGCATCTGAAAAGGGACACTGACCATCCATGAAAAGAGGCACTTATGAGAATGAAAAAGGGGCCTTAAGGATGAAGGGAAACGTACATTTTGTTGAAAGAAAAGGGGCACCGATCAAATTTTAATCGAGGCATTTATCAAAGGTGAAAAGGGGCTTTTATGAGAAGGGGGAAGTGGCTCTTATTAAAAAGAAAAAGAGGCACATGTAAAAAATAAATGGGGCACTTATCAAAGATGGTAAAAAAAGCGCTTATTAGGAAGGAAAAGGGGAACGTGTCAAAATAAAAGGGGCATTTATAAGAGATGAAAAGAGCACTTATCAGGAGGGGAAGGGGCACTTGTCAAAATGAAACGAGCATCTCTCGGAATTGAATAGGGTCATTTACCAGAAATGAAAAGGGGCACTTATGAGAATGGACAGGAACTATTTTCATAGATGAAGAAGGGCATTTATGAGAAGGGAAAGGGGCTTTTTTTTATAAAAGGGGGCACTTTTCATAAGGAAAAAAAATCCACTAATTAAAAAGGAAAGTGGGCATATGTGAAAATATAAGGTGCGCTTACCCGAGTTAAAAAGGGGTAGTTATTAAAAGGGGAAGCACTTTTTACAAAGGAAAAGGGGAACTTGTCCAAGCAAAAGAAGAACCTCTCAAGTTTGAATAGGGCAATTATCAGATGTGAAGGGGGCGCTTATCAAAAGTGAAAAGGGGCGCTTCTCGTACCTGAAAAGGGGAACTTACTAGCGATTAAAAAAGGCACTTATGAGAATGGAAAATGGACACGTATTGCACTAAGGAAATGGGAACTTGTCAAAGGAAAAGGGGTACGTGTTAAAATAAAAGTGGCACTTATCAGAGGTGGAAAGGGGAAGGGGCACTTTTGGGGTACTTGAAAGAGCACATTTTTGGGGTTTTTTTTTGCTCCCGAATTTTTGAAAATCGCACCGGTCGCATAATCGCTCAGTGGGGGGGGGGGGGGGCACGTCCCTGTTTGCCAGTACATTTTTGGCGAATTGTGCCCATGTAATTTTTTACTTTCACGACTATTTATCTTCACTGTTGAGGTTATTTTATTATTCTAAATCTAAATTCATAATTCAACAGATATCAATATAAAAATTGTCAATAACTGACTTTAAATTTCCTGACTGTAGTTTAAGGTTTAATCCTCATGGTTGTATGCAATTTTTCAACATTAATTTCCATATCTCCTTCTTAATCCCCTTCTTTTCCCTTCTCTATTTAATCTGCCTTTTAATTTCCTTGTGGGTTTTCCTTTTCATGTGTGTGTGTGTGTATGTATTAGGTTTTTACAGACGTGTATCAATCAGATATGATTATTTACGTCCGGGGACCGACCTTTAAACGTCACCATCCGAAAGACGTGAAATAGTTTCGAACCTGCGTCCTCGGCTGAATCTGTTTGTAACTTCCATTGTTAGCTGGATTACAGGCGCATGCCACAACGCCCAATTGATGTGGATGTAGCCTTTAATCAGGGCGGCTTTGCTGCTCTTCGGATCAACTGGTCCTGGAAACGTGCGGAATAGTCCTCTAATCGTGGAAAGTTAACATACGCCTATACATCTTGATCGACTATGGACATGGGACCGATAGAGCAGCAAACCCGCTGTGACAAAAGGCTACTGTTGATGTTATTATTCAATGTTATTTCAATTTGTATATTATTGTATTTCAGTCAATTAAATGTTAATGTTTCGACGTTTATTTTTTACTCTTGGATTGTATAGTCGAATTATTTCTGCCTTACAGCTGCTACTTTCATATTCCTTTTTTTGAATAATTAACCACGTACAAATAACTATATTAAATTTGCATTAATTTTCTTTTTTCAGATACTTCCTTTTTGTGACACAACAACGAAAAAATAGTGAGCATATTTTCTCTGCTTGAACGACGTAGGTGAAAGTGGGGCATAACGGACCCGGGGGGGGGGCAAAATGGAACTTTGAAATTAGCATATGTTAAAAAAGGTCGCCCTCTGTGCAAATTCTTTGAAGAAGAGAAGATGCCAAAATAATTTCAGCACTGAATTTTCATCCGGTTACATCGAGGCACATCGGAGTAAGATCCCATCCAAAAAATTACAGCCTCATGATCTAAAGTAAGGGAATGTTCATATGGCTGAAATTTGGTAATTTTGGTATCGATTCTAATCAAATATTTGTATATATTAATCATAAAGATATCAACGTTAGACTCGCCTGTTTGCATGCCAACTATGCTTCAGGTATTTTCTACGCAAACTTTTATTAAAAAATATGTCATTGGGGCAAAATGGACCATATAGGTACGGGACAAAATGGAACAGGGTTCCGTTTTGCCTCAATTGAAAATAACATATCTTGTGAAAGCTTGACTTAAGCAAATGCCAAGGGTTTACGGCTTCAAATAAAAATGTAAAAAAGTAAACCACTCCAATGTTATGGTGTCCCTGTTGGTCCTAAAGACTGAATGGTTGAGTGAATGTGCGTGTGCACTTGTGTGTATGCATACATGTATTTTTATCATTATATTTGGATTTTCTTGTTGTATTTTTATAAGTTA